TTCAACAATTAAAAATAGTTAATTATCATAAAAAATGTAGTTTTCTTAATTACATGTACAACAATATTAAATTCAAAGAAAATGTATACAGTTATACTTCGATAGGATGCACAAATTAGTTCGTTAAGTCAAAGTTCGTTTTTAGAGGTAAACAGTGCTATGGAAATGTGGAACGTAAAGAAGAAAAAATGTATTAAATAAACAGTCAACTAATATTCACTTCATTGATATTTTCGAAGACTATTGATTGATATATCTAGATAACTTCATTTATTTTTCTACAACATTTCTTAGGGTTTCTCGGTTTTTGAAAACCGGTTTTTGAGGAAATTTAAGTAATTCGAAAACCGGTTTTTTAGTTGAGCCTAGACTTAAAATATAAAAATTAATGAATTATTTTAATTATTTGATTAAAAACATAAAATCGTCTCTGTTACGAGATTTGAAAAAAATGAAAATCGAAATTAGTTTTAATGTTTTTGTTTTAGATAATTTACATTTAGCTTATTTCTTGCACTAGCTTCATTAAGTTCTTGGACTTATATTATGAAGATGTAAAGACAATTAAACCCAGCTTTCAAGAAAGTGAGAGTTTTTTTATATTTCTGTAAATTTGCAATAGATCCGTGTATAAAATAAGTTGTAAAAATCCCTTTCTCTATTTTTTTTGTAAACTGGTTTTTAAACGGTTTTCGAAAACCGGTTTTTTTTATATATTTCTTAATGATTTATTTGCAATTAATTCGAACAATTATCAAAAATCATTGATACTTCCTTATATCGAAACTTCGTTATCAGATGTAACATTAACCGTATTTTCATTTAATTGTCTGTAATTTCTAGCAAGTAATATAACTTAAATATTATGTGTTAACACTTAACAATTGCAGGAAAAGAACATTTAATAGAAGATTTCATCAGATGCGACTTTTGAATCACGATTTCAAGAGATATTTTTTGCTTGTTTCAGATTTCTCTTCAAAATAAGTACCTTGAAATTGTGAGTTAAACATTTTACTTTCATTCTTCATTATGGGAAACTGCATTTTCAACAATAAAAATAATTATACATAAAAGTACAGTGAATATACGTAACTATAAAGCTTATACAAAAAACGTAAAATATAGACTTGAAATGCATAAATATAAAATAAACTAGATTTTAGTCTACAACACTTTGGTATTTAGAGTAAATAAAAATGTTGCTATTTCAATTAATATTTAAGTGAATCTTTGAAATAATCGAACTTCTATTATACAAAATGTGTGAGTTATTAATTTCTAATGTAATACACTAAAAAAATAATTAAAAATATCTATAAGCATTTTATGTTATCTAATTTTATTAAATTATCTAATTTGTGATTGTTAATCAAAATTATGAAATAAAGATATTATTCCATACTTATATAATATTTAAAAAACGTCAAAGTAATCTATTGAAATTTCCGCTATTTTTCTTCAATGAATTGATATTTGGGCTATTCAAAATGTGCATTCATACAATGTAGAAAAATTATTAGATAAAAAAAACATTGCAGTTAGTATATAATATATAGTGTAAAAATGTATACTGTACGTTTTCCGACTTCGGATTTTTGTTTTGAAACTGCTTGATATTAATTATTGGTCCGCATGTAACGCTATTAAACGTTTAATGTATTGCGCAAACGAGCCGAGCATTTTATAAATATAATTAACACCGATTTCGCAAGAGCAATTTCCAGCCTGGAGCGAATTTACAATTAAGGACGTCGCGAACTCCATTAGGCAAAACCAAATTAGAACTTGCCGTTTTTTTATATTTATTTTGCTACAGCTTTTCCTGCATTTTCCGTTTCTTATTTCCTCGATTTTAGAAATTATCAATTAAGAGTTTTCGTAAATATATACAGGTCAACTCATTCAACTCATATTACTACCGGTAATGTTTTCAATTAATTAATTTTAAATTTATTAATTACAAAGTTTGTATGAATTTTTAAAGTAGTTCAAAAAGCTTTTGCATTTTCCGTTTCATATTCATATCATTTGTCTTTTAAATATTGACGGCAGGTAATGTTTCGATTAATTCATTTTAAATTTGATTTCTTATGTACAAAGTTTGTATGAATTTGTAAAAAAAGCATATGCATTTTCCTTTTCAAATTTCACCGGTTATTGAAATTACTAATTACCAATTGCTTAGTAAATATATGCAGATCATCTCATTTGTCTATTAAATATTGACTACAGGTAATGTTTTTGAATTATTCATTTTGAACGTGATTTGTTATGTATTAAATAAAGTTTGTATGAATTTGTAGTGGAGTTCGAACAGAGTCTGCAGCAACTGGTTTCTAGATTGTCTTCGGGTGGTTTCGCTCGTTGCGTTACATTTCATCTTTCATCCATTGACTCGAAAGTCTCTCGGTGCAGAGACGAGCGAGACACAAAAATTGTTCGGGCGAAAGTGTATTTTCATCAGCAGATGGAACTTTCTTCATTGCACATTACAATAATAATGATCATAGCGGCGGTATGGAGAGAAGAAGCACGATGCCCGCGTCTTCGTTACAACACACGAAATGCGTGTGTGCTGCGCTTCTTCTTCATCACTTTCAATTTCTATTAAGATCCATTCGCGAAATAACTAGATCCGTTCAGGCCACTTTCTTCGTTATACAACTGTTCGGGAAACACGTAAAAACAATAAAACGACTACCCATATAGGTATATCACTTAACTAGTCAGGGTCCGCATGGTTTTACATGAAGTTTGCAGTGAAGAAATTAAATGAATTTCTTCGAATTTCAAAGGTTATTACGCGAAAATCGTTAATACCATGAAAATAATTGATAGCTCATTCAATTCTCTGTAGTTTATTCTTTAATAGCCATATTAAATATATAATTTATATTTATTAGTTTTCCAGAATTAAGTGAAATGTGAAGACACTGCATTTTCGAGGCATAATTTGAAAGCTTATTATGCGAAAATCGCTAATACTACGAACGTGACAGATAGCTCATTATATTATCTGTAGTTTATTCATTAATATGCACATACAATATATATTTAAATTTTATTAATCTTTCAGTAATTAAGTAAAACATGAAGATATCTTCAAATTTGGAAGGTTATTAAGAAAAAATCGCTAATACTAAGAAAATGTGTAATAGTTCATTGTATTTTGTATATACTTCAAATTTGTTAGTTTTCGATTAATTTGATAAAACGTGAAAACACTGATTTTTCGAATTAATTTATTTACATTTTAAAGCAATTTAAAGCGACGTGATTATCGTTAATACTACGAAAATGACTGACACCTCATATTCTCTGTAGTTTATTATTTAATATGCATAATCTATATATATTTCAAATTTTTAGACTTCGAGAAATTATGTAAAACGTGAAAACTGCTTTCTCGAGGGATAAAATTAATCTTCAAATTTGGAAGCTAATGAAAATAAAATAACTAAGAAAATGTGTAATAATTCATTGTATTCTTTGCAGTTTATTGTTTAATATCTATATTCAATATATATTTCAACTTGTTTGTTTTCAAGTAATTAAATAAAACATTACTTTCTTGAGGAATAAAATTATGTTTTGAAATTAGGCGAAAATCTTTAATACTACAAAGAAAAAAATATTAAATAATTTAAAAGTATTTGTTTATTCTAATCTATGTTTTCAAATTTATGCAGTCAGTAATACGGAATTAAACATATATAAAAGTAAAAACCATGAGAAAGTGTGGTAAGATAAGTATATTTTAAATTTAAATTCGACTTACGAACTACTTTGAAAGTCGGGGGATACCTGTAGTTTATTCTTTAATATATATTTAAAAATTTATTAGTTTTCGAGTAATTAAGTAAAATGTAAATTTACAAAAACTGAAAGGTCATTAAAATTTTTACGAATTACTTGAATTAGATTACACGTGTAATATGGATTTCATAGACTTAACACTTAATTGCGTGAATCATAAAGCTATGTCATTATGTTAATAAATATATTTTAGTTTTTGTGTTGTTTTCTGAGATAAATTATATATTTTTCCAAATAGTTTTTATTAAAACTCTGGACAAATTATTAAAAATCGGGACTGTCTCATCAAAAGCAGAATGTGAAGTCGCCTTATTTTTACCACTAATTTGAGATTATTGAAGTAAAGATATTTAAGTATAAAAAAATAAACTATAATAATTAGTAATAAGACAAAATTGTCCTCTATTCGTGTGAATTGTATGAAGTCTTTGCTGCTCTAACAAATCGTATCCGTTCCACTACGTTGCCATTATAATTATAATGAAATTCTTCGGACTAATTATAATTAGTATAATAACAATTAACGTACAATTACGAACATCAATCAAATCCCATTGGTAAAGCTATAAATTAATTAAATAACGAATCTATAGATCACGTTTTCACCATTTATAATCGGATTTGCACGAATTTAGGCGATTTTAGTGCCCCATGGGAGTGGAGCGTGCCTATTTTTAGACTCGGTTTTTCACTGGGAAATCCACAAACATCATATTTATTATAAGACAACGGGACAAAGATTTTGAAAGAAAAACTGACCTACTTAATTGCAATTAAAATTAATTGAATAATTATAGAAGTAGTAATGGAATTCCAATAAGCAATCATTCGCTGTCGAAAGCGCGCGAAATTGAAGCAACTCGAATTTGAAAATTTAACGTGGAAAGCGCTGATTTAGGTGAAAAGAAAGAAAGAAAAAAAAACAGAAAAATTTAAATCATTCCGTACTTTTACCTGATCGAGAAAGTACACGTTTTTTTTTTAAAGTATTATTAGAAATTTATTCAAGACTGTTACAAGACCTCCGAAAAATTGCTCTTGTTATTTCTTCGTACGAGTTTCTAAATCATCCAATTATTGTTACGTTCATTAAACCGCATATTTCTGGTGTAAATTGGGTTTCAAAAAATCTATTAAAATTTTTTTTTTTTAAAGAAACTAAATTTTGAATTAAAACTTACCCCATTTCGGTTTTCGGTCGGTGGTACTTCAGAAGGATCTTCGTTTCCTGATGGGCTCGGCATCCTTCTTCGCGAATGCACTTCTCGGTCATGCTACTATCCTCGATGGCATAAGGATACACGAGTGAGTTACACCCCTTCGGACATGCGGGGAAAATTGAGGAGCGCCGTTTCCACGAGCGAGCGCATTTTACAGTTTCTGTGGTGGTAGAGGAATGGTAAATAAAAAGAGTAAAGTTTTGTTGGCGGTGTGAGAAAGGAGGAAATCAAAAGAAAAAAATAAAACGTGCAGAAAACGGATCCACGTCTACGGCGTAACCGCCATTTGCGCAATATTGGGGCGCAGAGCATATGGGGTGAATGTAATTTATGGATAGGGGAAGAAAGAGAGGGTTGTCGGGTGACATCTCTTTATCATCCACTAAAGCAGATGGCCTTTCTTTTGTGTATTTTATATATTTTTTTTTTAGAAATTATTTACACTTTCCTGGTACGATAAAAAGGCGCACAAATATTTGTACTTTACGGAGGAAAGGTTAGTCCTAACCCAAATATTACTACAATTTTAATGAGCGCATCCATTTGTTTACATTCTAAACTTTAGAAGATCACAAACCTATTAAATTGTGTTACGATCAACAACATTATGATGATACAAAAATAAGAGATTGACGTTAATTATTGTATTGCATTTATTGCAACGCATGTGGCGTATTGCTAGAAAAAATCGTTGATTTATGGATTTAAAACAAAGATTATTAAAATATTATACGTCGAGAACAATAGCAGATTAATATATCAATTGAAACGCTAAGTTGATATAATTGAGATAAGGAAAAGAAATCAAATCGTATTGTGCGACAATTTTTAAAATGCGAGTATTAACTGTCGTCGCCATCTATTGGTCTAGTAACAACTTAAGTGTAAATTTATATTTTGAGATCCTGAATAATAAAGGATTAGGATTCCGGTAAATATTAACTTAATAACGCTAATTACATGTAAAATTAAACAGTTAACGCTTCTGTGTATGATAATTTGCAAGATTGTAATATTATTTAAATGTCAATGCCACCATTTTTATAGGTTTGGCATAAGGATGCATTCGCCATCTGTGAATTACTTAGCGAGTTATGCAATGCAACCAGCATTGCGTAGAATTATTTTTTTTCATCGAAATCCACGGGTGATTCAAATACGTCTGTGTTCATTGATTGGCTGCATGTGACAATGTAGAAAAATGTCAATAGTACGATAAAAACAATTCAGTTTAGCGCCTGACTTTTTTTGATACATTCGGTCCGAAATGGCGCAACGCTATTCCCCACCAACGAAAATCGTTTCTGTTGCGTGAAATATCCGAAATTTTATATATAGTCGAGGGGAGTCCTGATATAGAGAAAAAAGAAAATGCTGCAGCGTTTACTGTTGCAAGTGCGGTCCATGTGCACGAAGGACAAATGGAGACAGGTACCGAAGATCTCGCCCTCGGTGAAGGGCTCGCAGTACTTCAACAAGGCCTTCGGGGAGTACCTCTTCATTACGAACACCGTGACTTCGGGTGGTCTGATGGCGATCGGGGATCTGATACAACAGGAGATCGAGTACCGCAGCCACAGTCTGCCTGAGAGGTACGACTGGGCCAGATGGAGTAAGCTTACAAAAAACAAAAAAAAATTACAAAACAAAAATCCTAAAAGAAAAACTGCGGCCAATCACACTGGATATGACTCTCTTACGTTGCAGCCAGGTTGACTATTGTCGGGATAGCGATGGGCCCGTTGCATCACTACTTTTATAAATACTTGGACAGCTACCTGCCAAGGCGCAATCTGTTCTCGGTGGCCAAAAAGATACTGATGGATCAGCTGGTCATGTCGCCGATATGCATCTCGTTGTTCTTCTACGGTGTCGGTATGATGGAGGGGAAGGCGTTCAAGGAGTGCACCAAAGAGATCAACTCCAAATTCGTCGAAGTCTACATGGTAGAGATAGGCAACCAAACTAGAGGATTTTGATTCTTCAGACACCTCTTTTTTTCAGATCGACTGGAGCGTCTGGCCTCCTACGCAGTTCATCAACTTCTACTTTCTTCCCGTCCAGTATCAGGTTCTCTACATCAACTTTGTCACGATGCTGTACAACGTCTTTCTCTCGTACATGAAACATCGCGAAACCGCAGAAGAGCACAGGTACACCTATTACAATGACTACAGCAATCAGTTCACAATATCATCAACGAAAAGACTTTAGATATCTATTACATGTCTCTTTCAACATAGCTATTTATTATTAAAGGGAACAGTCTGTTACTATTGTTGACCATAAAAAAGTTTAGTTTATACCTCAGGGGAAAAAACACATTGAACTTATTTATTTGTGTTCATGTAGGTATAGCTTTAATCCTATTTTTAGTTGTCTAGACTGATGACTTTTAATCTTGCAAATATTTACGACTAATTTAAGATTAATTGTCCCAAACAACATACCAATGCGCTTCTAACACTTTCACATTTTGTTTACATGTTACTAATCAGTTATTATACTTATTACATAACACTTTATTTGTGTAAATTACATTTTTTTTAGCTTGCTTTTGTGATCTGTGAACTTATATAATTTATATTTTGCATGTATTTATTACTTTTTTTGGATTGATTTTATATTATGTTTACTTATACAGAGGGCGATCGGTTAACGAACATAATCCATTCACAGACAATGTTCGCTACCCGAATTGTTCGTTAACCGAATATCGATTTAAAAAGCGGCTTAAGTCGTATCTTCGTTGTCTGAATATGAAAATCTTTTGTCCGTTGTCCAATTTGTTTGTCAATCGATCGCCCACTGTATTACAATTATTGATGCATGTATTTTAATTAATTTTATGTGTTTTTTTGCTTTTAGAAAAAAATACGAACGCGAATCCATCAAAAGTGCTGGCACAAATCATTTGTAATTTACGGAATATCTTGAATTGGTTTACGTAAATGAAAACAGTAATAGTGGAATACCAAAACAAATAATGTCATGAAACGAATGGATCGACGTGGCAGTATTTTAAATTAATTTATTTAATTTAACTAAAAAAAAAACATTGTTTTTGATTGTTATACTTTCATAAAGTTTTATTAAAATCCATTAGTATTTTATGAATTGCAGAATCCATTATTTATGTTTATCCGCATTATCAGATCTTGTGCATAAATCATTGCATGTAAGTAATAGTTTGTTTCTTTTTATAACAGGGATAAAACAGTTATAAATTATTTATTTTATTCACGTTTCTAATGATTTATAATTTGATATAAAAGTTAGCGGTGCATGGGTATTAAATATGATTAGTATTCACTTGACAGGCTATTAATAAATATGTAAGCGAGTACTATTTAGTAGTAAAAAATATTTAATGAATGTTTTCAATTTAACTGTTAGATCAGGGGTTTCCAAACTGTACGCTGCGCCATTATAACTACAAGTTAAACCAACAAGCTCGCTCACAATACCGGTACCAAGGAGCGTGCTGAAAGAACCGAAGCTGAGGGGCACAAACAATGTAAAGAATAACAAAAATGTATAAAAAAATATTGTATAAATTGTATATAAATAAATAAAAAAAAAGTTCGCCCTGAGATAGATGTTTTGACTTGTGGCGCCGCGGAATATATTAAAGACGCCGCTTTTCGAAAATGTTTAAGAACCCCTGCTATACAGTCTAGTATCTTTTTGTGCTGTTTATTTTCATTAAAGTTCTCGATTAGTCCGGTTTTCAACAGGTTTCAACCTGAAAGAGAATGATTTTGAAACAAAATAAGAATACATTAATGCAGCGGTTTCCAACCTTTATACTACTACGCCTCCCCGATTTTTTTTTTCCGCGACTCTCTTGCTTTTTATTGTTTTAATAGATTAAATAATATAGTTACGTTTTATTTATTTGAAGATATTATGATATAAAAATTAATTTATTAATTTTGGCGCTTCCCTGGCAATAGTCCGCGCCTCCCCTGGGAGGCGAGCCTCACAGGTTGGAAACCGCTGCTTTAATTTATACACATTAAAACTAAACTTGAAACTAAAAAGATGAAAGTACTGTATATTAAAATGGTTGCGAAATGTGGATCTTGAATCACGTTTACATAACGTTCGTGTTAAGTTAACCCAAGTTATCAAACATATGATAGAGATGTAATGACTATAGGAAATTTTACTTTGCTAGAATAATTAGTTCTTTATCAAAAAGATTAGACAGCTTGGGATATTGTACGTTTGCATTGTACTTAAATTGGTACGTTTTAGTGTGATATACAGTTTAACTAGTTGGAGATATATTTTGTTATGTAGTTCTATATTCTTCTATCATAAGAAGTAGGAAAACTTCAACCTCCACATCAGAAAGGGATTTGGACGAGCGCAACAGATCAGAGGTGAACTTTATCTATCGCAAGAAGACATGTGAGAATACTGATATAGATTGGTACAATCGGCGATGGCGACGAATGGAAATTCACACAAAGCAATATAATTATTCCAATCTGATTTGCTATCTAACTTTGCCGATGAACCATACCTAACCTTAACCAGGAAGATATGTTACAGTAGACTAACACTATACACGAGTGAAAAATGGCCTATACAGTATTGAAATGGTTAACAATCTAGATTCTAGAACAGTGTTTTTCAATATATTTAATGTATCACGAAATGACAGTTGTTTAAAACAGCGGTCGCCAATCTTTCTGACCTGAAAATATTGAATCCCGCGAACTACTTTCATGATTTTTCAATAAAAATAAGATTCTAAATATGAAATGGTACTTATACATGTTTTTACATTTTGCCTTTTATAATAATATAACGTAATAAGACGAAAATTGCAAAAAAATAGATTCAGAATTCTAAAATAACACAAATTGCAAATGTATTTGAAGGTTGGCGACCGCTGGTTCAAAATATTATCTTATAAGCAATTGGGTTGAGAAACGCTGTTATAGAGGATGAAGGAAAATTAAAGACTGGTAGATAGTGTCTATTTGCAATGTATTAAAACTGACAAAAAAATGTATTGTACTTAAATTAGTACGTTTTAGTGTGATATATAGTTTAACTAGTTGGAGATATATTTTGTTATGTAGTTCTATATTCTTCTATCATAAGAAGTAGGAAAACTTCAACCTCCACATCAGAAAGGGATTTGGACGAGCGCAACAGATCAGAGGTGAACTTTATCTATCGCAAGAAGACATGTGAGAATACTGATATAGATTGGTACAATCAGCGATGGTGACGAATGGAAAATCACACAAAGCAATATAATTATTCCAATCTGATTTTCTATCTAACTTTCCCGACGAACCATACCTAACCTTAACCAGGAAGATATGTTACAGTACACTAACACTATGCACGAGTGAAAAAAAGGCCAATACAGTATTGAAATGGTAAATATCTAGATTCTAGAACAGTGTTTCTCAATATATGGGCCGCGGTCCAAGATTGGGTCTTATTAATTTTTTAATGTATCACGAAATGACAGTTGCTTAAAACAGCTGTCGCCAATCTTTCTGACCTGAAAATATTGAATACCGCGAAAAATTTGTCGGTCCATGAAATGAAAATGGGAGTCCACGATAGTGCATCCCAACATACACTGATAGTACCTATTTATTTACATTATACTATCTTATAATATAAAGACATATACATTATTTATAAAAGTACCTATGAAGTAAAAACAATATTATATATGTTTATAAAATTGTGTAAGCTGTAGGATGTAGGCATTCGCATTGTGGTCGCAATACATTTTGAACTTGTAAAAACCTTCACATAATGATATACGAGTATCATCTTGTTACAAGCATACGCGCAGTCTCAGAGCAATGATCTTAATAATTATAAAGATGTCCCAATATAAATAATAAATTTACAAAAAATCAAAATCAAGTAAATAACGGATCTACCCAAAACCGAAAAACATGGCAAGGGGTCTACGACACAAAAAAGTTTGGGAACCTCTGATTTAAATGGTGAGCGTTTGTTGACGCATCAAAAGTTGCCCAAAATCAAATTTGAAACTGCCTTCCTCTTAATTAAATTTAAATGATGTTATAGAAACATACTCAAAAATATCAGTCAAACATTACATATTGTTTTATAGAACACTGATATGGGCTGTAGCCTCTTACATACTTAAGAAATTAATTATAAAAAGAAAAAAAAATTACAATATTTGCTATCAAATCCAATTGTTTATAACATTTTTTGACGTTTTGAAGTAAAGTGACAGCTGTCATTTTGCGACCCTTACAAATTTAACGCGACCTAATATAGGGTAGCGACCCATAGATTGAGAAAAACTTTACTATCGTATTATATTATTTATTCAAAATATTAAAAGATAAAATAAATTAATATGAGCGATGAAAACAAAAATATTATTTAAACAAATTTGTGATCTATGTGGACAATAATAACCCATTGTATATGTATTTTTCTATTTATACAATAAATTCCAAATACAACAACAAATTTTTGAAATGAAAATTATTTATCAAATTTGAATAGTGTAAAATACTGTTTGATAAACTAATCTACATATACTTGTTATTAGTTATTCCAATCTTAATATATCATCTCATGGATATATTCTCAAAAATGTAATTATTACAATAATATTAGTTGAGAAAATTGCAAAGTCTATTTCTGAGAGTAATTTCAATATGCATTAAGAATAATATTTATAGTTATTAAGTTAATGGTTTTGCAGAGGAATTCGGTTAAGCTAAAATAAACTTTGCAAAACGTTATAATAAACGAGTTGTAGTTATCAAAGTGCCTATGAAATCACTGCTCATTTTCTTTAAACGTTTTAAACCAGTAATGGAACCAGCTTCTTTACGAGCATGTGGAATCTTTGGATGTGCACTTTTGTTTTCTCGAGCAAATGGATCTGGAGTGCGGAACAGTTACGTAACCCGCGGAAAAGAGATGCATCTTCGTGGTAAGATGCTGGGGAAATCTGTTGAGATACGAGAGAGAAACACAGAGAGACTTTGTGGTGGTTGGAAAGAGGTGTGTCGGACTTCTTGAACAACGTTGGTGGAGGAGGAACGAATGGTTCGGATCGGATCCGAGAGCGAGCAGCCGATGTTTGTTCCACGGAAAGCGGTTTCGATGCTTTCGTAAATGAGAGAATTGTACGTAATTACACCTGCCGCTCAAAACTGGTTTCCACCTTCCTCCTGGTCTACGGCATAACTGCATATCGCGAGTTGGAGTCGTGGAGCTCACCGGTTCCTTTTTTTTGTTACCTGTCGCACCGCAAACGGCGTGAAAGAAGAGCGGACGGAAGGAAGGGACAACAGATATACGCCACTTTGATAATACACCGCGATTACGAATGCGCCGCGCGCGATAACGGCAAGATAAGGCAGCACTTAAGTATGATAAGTTGGTCTCCTCGGAGGTGAAACAGTGGCAAAGTACATCCCGTATACACCTAGTGATTTTTTTTCTTGTGGACAGTACCTTAAAGGAATATGTTCAAGAAGAATAGACCCAAAGCACCTCCAGCTCCTTCCGCTGAGTACGACAACAACAACGGCGGCTCCAGATACCCACCTCCGCAGAGCAATGGCAAATCATCATCCTCCGCATCCAAAGGCACGAAGCTGGTATTCAATTGCCAACTAGCAGATGGAAGTCCCACGGGCTTCGTGTCAGGATTTTCCAACGTCAAGGAACTCTATGAGAAAATCGCTGAAGAATTCGATATTCCCACGTCAGAGGTAAACAACAAACCCTTTATCTAACATCTGAATACATTCATGCAATATTCATAATGCAACACTCTCCCAGATTTGAATCCAGTCAGGAAATTCGAAATTATAAATACACCTGTATTGAATCAAATTATTTTTGTTTCTAATTCGTGAGTGTAATTAAATGACTTTAAACCAAAGTTTTCGCTGCTTCCTACTTGCAAATACGTTAATTATTGACGCACTAATCCCATGTGTCATAGCTACAGGCCAGAGTTCGATCGCATAATTCGAATTCCAATCGCCGCAATTAATCCATTTCGATTACATTCATTACGTTATGTCTCTAGTAATTAGCTGCAGGAAGCCGAATCTCGAGCATCAATTACTGCTTTACTGCTTAATTAGAGAATAGTTTCAGATAAAACTGTAATAAGGAAAAAGTTATTTAGGCTATCAATATTTTAAAATTAAATTTTATTAAATAACTTGAATGAAACTACTACAAAGAACATTGTTAAAATGCGGAAATTTCTCAAAAGTGACCTATTTTTTTTAATATAAATAATGCTTATTGTTTTTCCAACTTGTCACCGGTTTCACGCAGTCGAAGCAAGAATAATGAGAAAACGCCTCCATTAGATCATCTCGTTGCAAAAACTGTACGTACTAACGATAGCGATCGACCTTGGCAGTAATAATTATTAGATAAAGCAAATTTAGAGAATGTACCGAAAGTCATTGTTCCCGAAAATTAATCCATTAACCGTATTTTACCATTTGCTGCAACACAAGTTTAATTGGTTAACTAAATATGAAAGGAACATTATATATGAATTCAAATGAAAAGAGTAAATACCTATTTGTGGAATGAAACAGTTACGTGCACGATGATCAGACTGGTTTATTTATATACAATACGTTTTCTAAACCAGGTTTTTTTTCTCTCTCCCCAAGTAAACCACACGGATTTAATTAATACAAAACGTACTTCGATGCTCCTTGAAAATGTATCATTACACTTACGAAGCACTAAAATTAATTAATTTTCAGATGAAATTCAATTTAAACTTGGTCCATTTTCAATGACAATACTTCTACCAACAATAATATACAATTTATGCAATAAAAAATCCAGGAAATACTCAATTAAAATTAATATATGAACATAAATTTATCTAACTTTAATTGGTGTTAATCATTAGATTAGTTTTTGATTTATTTATTATAATCTAAAAGTTAAAAAATTAAATAAATTTGCTGTTTATCAATTAAATATATTTTATCATTTGCATTGTTCACAGTGCATTCTAATTGTGCAAGGAAAATATACGCAAATCTCGAATAAATAACTACGCGAAAATTGCATTCATTGTAGTGTCGACAAACAACATACGTCATGTGATTTTTATGGGTCAGATTAATCGCTGAAACGATCATTCATTCCATACTTTTTGGATCGGACAAATTTCGTATATTCAAATATATTCAAATTCGAAAACGGTATTTTTTTTTTGTTCATATATACTTTATTTCTGCATTACTTTTTTGCATTCGTCAAAACTTTCTAACTTATTGAAGCGTTTATTAATGCCGCATAATTTATTTAATTAAATTTGATTATTGACAATTCCATTCACCGTGTTATTATTATTATTAGCAGTTCTTTATTATTATTTCTTTTTGTCTCTTTCTTTTCGTTACTTATTTCCACACTTTTGTTTTCGAAAAACCGTTACACAAACAATTCTCGTACAGTTGCTCGCTTTAATTGTTGTCCGCTCCATTTTTATTCCTCTCTCTTCTCGCGTTTTATTACGTTTATTATAATTAATAGTTTTTTTGTTGTTGTTGTTTTATTTAGTTTTCAAATTACGCAATTGATATGTGTGAATGTTTAGTTCAGTTTTTTTTAAGGATCGAGTTGTATTTGGTTTTGTTTCAATGAAATCTTTGCTTTCGCCCTGACATTTAAGATCACGGCCATCAATGGAAAAGCGTGAAAGTTTGGTTTGGCGCAAAGAGAATAAGAAAATAGGAACTGTGAAGATAGGAAATTTTCCACGAACGTAAAACTTAATGTGTAGAAATTTAATCAACACGAAAGAAATGTCTATTTGTCGAATGTATTTAGCGAGCGTTTTTTTTCTTCTAAAATAGTGGAATTAGCTCAATTTATTTCAATATGAATCGAGACTATAATATAATTTGGTTGTTAACAATATTCCTATACATGTGGCTATAAAAGTAGTCGCAAAATTTGCTTATCTTATCTTTGGACGCATACAAATTAGTTCGCACCGATAATAGTGCTCCACAATTCATATTTTAGGTCTCATTTTCGAGGAAACTTTGACCTACTTATATTTTAAAATCAAATATTTACTAAAAGAAAAACTATCTGATTATAGAGACAATGTTTGTTATTGTTTTTTTTTGTTGTTTTCGTTTATAATCAGACAAAAAAACAATATTGACTTCACGTTTGTCACCCCGCGAACTGAAATTGGACTGAATGCGACTTCCGGTCCGGGGAGCATTAAGCCATGCTTCCGGTAGCTCTTCGTTATGGAAATTATGTTAACCAACAACGTATTATGCCTTTACCAATTGTTCGTGTACCCGCATACATTTCATTCGAACTGCTCTGATATCTCTGTATTATTACATTTCTTTCTCTCTGCACGAATCCAATTTCGTGATTATTTAGAAAGCATTAGCTCGCATTGGTTAATAACTGTACAAATACACAACACAACCACGCACATCTCGTGCCATATAAGCTGTATCTTCGATATGTGTGTTTTTGGAACAATGGTATTATGTGCATCGCAAATCTTTCCGAATCTCTTCTTTAATTCATTTGTGGATCCATTCAGTTGTCACTCTTCGGTCAACCGCGTTCCGTTCGATCGCAAATAGGCCAAGACCACCTCCGAGGACCAACCGATCAATGTAGCTAACTCGGTTAGTTAACAAGATTTTGGGTTCTTCGCGGAAATTCGAATCGATGTAACGGTACAACGACTCGATTATATTAATCTCCTTCCTATGATTTCATCGTGGAATTATCCGACGCCGACGCTTAGCACTTAATTGTTTTCTTGGTATATTGCGAAACGACGAACGAACAATTCCTTTATGCAATTGTAATCATCGAGCATTTTGTAACAATACTCTTTTTTTCCTCTTCTCTACTTAGCATTAGCAAGAATGCATCATTAATTACCAAAGAAAGTAAATAAATTAGTTTATATTATAGTACTTCTAGCCAGTGGCGTGTACATGAGCCAAGTATGGATAAAACAATGTTGTTTGGTAATCCAAATACAAAATAAACGGGGCCCTCAAGTTTAATTTGCTTCTACTTTTTTCTTTTGTTGCAATAATGTATACTGGTGGCTTAAACACGGGCCCACATATTAAGGATGCAAATAATATTGTTGCTTTTAATTTTTTACCTTTAAAAACAAAACCAAATACGAAATAGATGGGGCCCACAAGTTTTAATTAGCATGCATCATTAATTACCAAACAAAATAAATAAATTAATTAATATTATAATACTTTTAACTTGTTGTGTGCACATGGGCCCACGTATTATCAAATCATAAACAATATTGTGTCTAGTTATTGACGATTGAAAATTAAGATAAAAACATTTTCTGGTGATCCATCGACGGGCCCTCAAGTTTACATATACCTTAGTCCTACAAACAAAAATTTGCACGTGGCCCACAAATTCAATAAATGTGCTACTTATTTTAAGACGGCCTAAATAAAAATAAAATAGATACATTCTTACTTAAAACGTTAATGTTAATATTTTTTACAAGTGAAGAACCTTTTTAAGGATGCAATGAATAATGTTGTTTCTGATTATTAGCACTTGGAAAATAAAGACATTTTTTTTTAATACTGACAATCTAAACACACAATCGATGGGGCCCTCAAGTTTAAATTTGCCACAGTTCTGCAAATAAAAAAATTGCTTGTGACCCACAAAATCAATTAAAGTGCTAGTGTTTATTGTAGAATTAACTGCAATTACTTATAAGATATTTTAAAAAAAATACAGGTGTATTATTTTTTAATTATTGAATTTTCATGGAAATGTAGTTGACATTTACATTTACTTATTTATATTTGATATTATATAAGGAAGTTAGTTTTTTATTTCAATTTTAATTAATTTTTTTATGTGTTTGCATTTCTTTAATAATTAATAATCTTAAGTTTACAATCCCATTTATGATGCATTTTATAAATAAGTTTTATTAATCTCACAGGATTTTCCTTATTAAACACATTTGTTTACGTATTTTTCTTTGTCTGTTTCAGATATTATTTTGCACACTGAACACTTATAAACTGGAAATGAAGGAGTTGTTGGCTGGACAAATAGGCTTAGAAGACTTTATATTCGCACACAGGAAAGGTAGTAAATACATGAATCGTGTATATAATCTATGTAGAAAAAAAAACATAAACGTGTTCAAGTTTTGTAAACAAGGAATGCATTCCTATCACGTATTATTCCTTTATCTACCGAATGAGCATTGATAACGGATAAAAGTTTGAGTTAAAAAAATAGGAAAGTTATTTCCATAATAGTGACATCATTCGCACTATTTGAATACGCTCTGTTTACATATGTATTCTATTTTATTTATTTTAATTTCATTTTTTTTTTCAGGTAGAGCAAAGGAGGTGGAATTGGTGAAATCGGAGGATGCGCTCGGTCTGACGATCACTGATAACGGTGCCGGTTTCGCCTTCATCAAAAGAATCAAAGATGGTTCTGTTATAGACAAAATTCTTCACATTCACGTAATACTATTAATAAGATTGCTTAAATCTCATACTGATGGAGATGATCTTTAGGTTGGTGATCACATAGAGAAGTTGAATGGAGTGGATATGGTCGGGAAGAGGCATCATGAGGTTGCGAAGATGTTGAAAGAGATTCCTCTGGGAAGTAGATTCACCATCCGTTTGGTCGAACCTCTGAGGTCGGGCTTCAACAGTATCGGTCCGAAAACCGGAAGAGGAAACGGAAAGAAGAATATTGGTAACGGAAAGGGCACGTTGAGATTCAAAGCTGACGGAAACGCTGAAATCGTTGAACAGGTTTGTTTATTTATCATTTGGAATTGTTGTAGATTAATTGGGATTGTTTTTTTTTTGTAGAATGATCAGGTTGAGTTGGGTATAGAGAAGATCAACAGCATCTTGGAGAGTTACCTTGGCATCAACGACTCTGAATTGGCTAGGCAGATCTGGGATATGGCTGAGAACAAGCTCAGCTCGATGGACTTTGCGACGGCGATCGATGATTCCGATCTGGAGACGTTCGGATTCTCCGATGAGCTGATCATCGAATGCTGGGGCGTCTTCACCGACGCGAGAGACGGCAGGCTCAAATAAGAATTAAATTTAAGTTGTTGTTTTTTTTTGTATTTGAAATTTCAAATGTGCCAGACAATGTATTATTAAATATTTGTATATCGTTTCGTTGCGCCGCCAAAATTCCGAAAAAAAAAACCTAACACGTGGAACGTGCCCTTTCTCTACATTCCTACAGCTTCTAATCTTTAAATTTTAAGACTTATTGTACTTTACACTTTTTCTTATACATGCAATAACAGATTCTTCAGAGTAGCTAAGTTCTATTAGAACTGTGTGCAATATTGTTTTTTTTATAAAATAAAATATACATAGTGTAGTAAATATTTGTATTATTACTTGTTTTCAATACTAAATCAAGAAATCCCAAGAAATATTGTAATTAATAACTTTAAATTCTAGTTTTGAATTTACATTTTATTTTATTATAATTATGTAACAACTTTGAATATTAGTTGGACAATAACGACTGTTAAATTGAATAAATAATTATAGTTTAATTTAGTACAAAAAGATAATTATTAACGTTAATATATGAGCCAAAAAAAAATACACAATTTAATTGCAGAACATTTAAATCTAATTTTAGTGTTTAATAACACTATTATCAATAATGATATGTTATCTAAACATTATTAGTATTGTACTGTATTTGAAATTATACAATTTGCTAAGTTCAGTCCAATACTATAAATGATTATAGGCAACCAAGATCACAGTCAACATTCAAATACAAAGAAAAGCAAATGAAATAATTTGTAAAAACTTGATGTTGTATAATCATGAACTATTTCAATAGTTCATTTACATATATAAATTGTTATTTATATTATTCATAAAAGGTTCATTTATAAATAACATAAAAAATCATATTTTATAACTTAATAAGGTGATTTTTTTTATCATTATTACATATTGTAATACTTTTGTAAAATTACTTCCAAAAGGTCATAAAGTAAAGAGTACATGTAAAATATAGTAGAATTATATTAGTAAATCATTTTTAGTTACATTAGAAGCTATGAACTTTTGTGTAAAGTTTGTAATCATTGTTTTATATTTTTAAAAAAATGCATAATATTTGAAAATTATTTACGTAAATCGTAATAAGTGCGTAATTTGAACTTGTTTTATTAATGTATTCTGATGTTTGAATCGCATGATACGATTATAAATATTCATGATAACGAGTTTTGTTGTTGCTGGCTAAGCTCACATTTTATAAATAAATATACATATGATTATGTCCTTGGCCAAAAGAAATTCTCATTCGACGATAAGAGATTGTCCGAGCTGCCACTGGCTCTGTAACTGTTTAGTTCGTGTAGGTTAAGTTGAACGTCTGTGAAGATGTCGGCTCTTTATACCATAAACCTGACTCTGAACCGTGGAATTTTCTCAAAGATCGGAGCATTATCGACAAGAGCCGGTATTTACAAGGTAAGAAACGTACAGACAATCTATTTGCTTGTACACATGTAAGGAGATATAAATTGGGACTCCGGGTTAACACCTGACATTGAGAGCAGGTCTGCCAACGGCTGAAATATTCCATTGGCGTACGGGGGCATGATTTTATTTGAATTTTTTTCCAGATCGTAGGATGCAGCTACTCGACTCAATGCAGCGCAAAGAATAAGCTGTATTCGAATGCAACTGATGCTGTTAAAGATATTAAAGATGAATCGAAGCTTCTTGTCGGTGGGTTCGGATTATGCGGTATCCCAGAGAACTTAATTAAAGCTCTCTTGGAGCATGGCTCCTCCAGGTTCACGGTGGTCTCTAATAACGCAGGAGTCGATACTTTTGGCTTAGGTTTACTTCTTAAGCAGAAGAAGATTAAGCGAATGATCTCTTCCTACGTTGGAGAGAACGCCGAATTCGAGAGGCAATATTTGTCCGGCGAATTGGAAGTCGAGTTAACACCGCAGGTGTGTTAATTGATCGATTCAATTGTGAATTATCATATAATTGAATTAGATGTTTATTAGTTTTGAAACCTTTTAATTTGAAGGGTACTTTGGCTGAGCGTTTGAGGGCTGGAGGTGCTGGCATCCCGGCCTTCTACACGCCGACTGCTTACGGAACTTTGGTGCACGAGGGTGGAGCGCCCATCAAGTATGGAGCTAAGGGAGAGGTCGAAATCGCGAGCGAGGCTAAACCAAGCCAAGTCTTCGATGGTAAAAATTACATTCTGGAAACCTCTATCACCGGAGACTATGCTCTGATTAAAGCTTGGAAGGCCGACAAATTCGGTAATCTCATATTCAGGTAATTTGTGCGATTGCATACACAACCTTGACTGATTTATATAAACAACAAAAACCGGTTTTCTTTTAATAAATAACAGGAAATCAGCACGCAATTTCAATACGCCCATGGCAAAAGCCGCAAAAATTACCATCGCCGAAGTCGAGGAAATCGTCGAAGTGGGTCAACTGGATCCCGACGAAATTCACTTACCCGGAATCTTCGTCGATCGCGTCATCAAAGGCGTGAACTACGAAAAGAGGATTGAAGTGCGATATACAATTTAATCCCTAAAAAAATATCCCTTCATTTATTTCTATTTTTGTATAGAGGGTGACCGTGAGGAAATCGGAACCTGGCAAGGATTCGGTGGCCAAGAAGAACCCGGCGGCTTTGATGCGCGAGAAAATCGCGAGGCGCGTGGCCATGGAGTTCAAGGATGGCATGTACGGTATCCTTTTTTTGAGCAATGCAACTTTTCTATACAAAAAAATATAAACAAAAATATGCGTCCTTAATTGATGCACAGTTAATTTGGGAATTGGAATGCCGATGCTTTCGTCCAATTACATTCCGGATAACATCGAAGTTTTCCTTCAGTCGGAAAATGGCATTTTGGGACTTGGAGCTTATCCAGCCAAAGCTTGCGTGGATGCGGATCTCATCAACGCTGGAAAGGAAACTGTCACAGTCGTACCTGGAGCGTCCTTCTTTGGAAGCGACGACAGCTTTGCTATGATCAGAGGGTAATTAACAAGTTAATTGAACCTCGATTTATTAACATTATCAATTTCTTGCAGTGGACACATCGATTTAACCATTTTAGGAGCAATGGAAGTGTCTCAATACGGAGATTTGGCCAATTGGATGATTCCCGTAAATATTCCAAAATAAATTTTCTTTTGTAATTATATTGCTTTATTCAATGTTTAAGGGTAAAATGGTGAAAGGTATGGGTGGAGCCATGGATTTAGTGGCGGCGCCGGGAACAAAAGTGGTAGTCTGCATGGAGCACACCGCCAAGGATGGAAGTCCAAAGATTTTGGAAGGTTGCACCTTACCATTGACCGGAAAGAATTGCGTTGACATGATAATTACAGACAGGGTAATTAATTGAAAATCATTTTAAAAGAATGAATAAAAATAACATAATTTATTATTTCAGTGCGTCTTTGAAGTGCACCCAGAGAACGGTTTGACTTTGGTCGAGTTGGCGGACGGTGTGCAAGTAGAAGACATTTTAACATCAACCGGTTGCAATTTCGATGTCTCCCCCGATCTCAAGAAGATGGGTCAAGTCGAATCTTGCCATGCTTAAGATGGTTGCTTTAATTATATTTTTTTTTAATTGTAAAATACATCATTTGTTTTTTAAACACTTTATTTCAAGAAAATAAGCATTTTATATTATGTAAACATGTAAATAAAAGCATTTGTTTTTTTTGTTTCAATAATTACGACTTTTTTAAGTATTTATTTATTTCAGAAAACGCATGCAAACAAGCTAACCTTTACCCTTATTACTTTTATTTACTTATAATTTACATATTTTTTGTTGTTGTTCTCCTTCGCGTTACTTTAAATGCATAAAGTATGTCTGGGTCATTAAGTTTTGGTCAGTATCTTTTCATGAGCGAAGTAGTTCGGTGATTCCTTGCGATGTTTTTGACAATAAACAGGGCTCAGGTAATATTTGTTGGTTCTTGAAGTTAGTTTATTTAGTTAATTAGTTTTTTCTGAAGCGGTTTTCGAGTGGAGTAAATAATAAAATCTATCCATCGGCGCAAGAAGCTATTGAGGATGTAAGCAGCTTTAGTCAGTTGCTCTTCGGTGGATATGGAATTTGCGGTATCGCCGAGAATTTGATCGAAGCTTTGAGGAAGCATCCATCCAAAGATTACTCGGTGGTAACCATAGAACCGGGATTGGTAGATTACGGACTCGGATTACTTCTTAATGAGAAGAAAATCAAAAAGATGATCCTTTCTTTCATGGCTGCTAATCCTCAATGTATCAGGCAATACTTGAATGGTGAACTTGAAGCGGAATTTTCACCGCAAGTGAGAGAATATTTAATACTTCTTAGACTTGTAGTTATTATGTTTCGAAAATTGTAGGGAACTTTGAGCGAACGTTTGAGGGCTGGCGGTGCTGGTATCCCAGCGTTTTACACGGCAACAGCTGTTGGAACTCTTATGCAAACGGGAGGATGTCCCATGAAGTATAATGAACAAGGACTGATTGTAAAGGAAAGTGTACCTAAATCAAGTAAAATAATCGACGGAAAGGAGTATATCTTAGAGAAAGCCATTGTTGGAGATTATGCATTTATCAGAGGTTGGAAAGCGGATAAATTGGGAAACGTAGTCTTCAGGTATTTTCGACACAGATTTTATAGGTAATTATTATTCTTCGTAATAATTTACAGGAAATCCGCAAGGAATCTCAATGTGACTGCGGCTAAAGCAGCTAAAATCACCATAGTCGAAGTCGAGGAAATTGTTGATGTCGGAGAATTGGATCCGGATGATATACATTTACCTGGAATCTACGTGCAACGCGTAGTTAAAGGCGATAAATACCTGAAGCCTATACAAGTAATAAATTATATAAAATCAATTGGTGAAACATTCAATTAATTCATCATCTTGTGTTGTTAGATACTGAAGGTGCATGATGAAAATAATTCTCGTTTAGACCCTATTCATGAACGGATTGCGCAAAGGGCTGCATTGGAAATACGTAACGGAATGTTTGGTAATACTATCATTAATCCCAATGTTAATTAAAATATAAGAAATATCTTTCAGTTAACCTTGGTATTGGATTGCCTCTGCACATCCCAAGCCATGTTCCTTCTGATGTGGAATATTTTGTACAAAGCGATAATGGTATAATTGGCGTAGGGCCTTATCCAACTTGGGACGAAATTGATCCTGATTTAGTCAATGCAGGAAGGGAGACGACTACTGTTATTCCAGGTACATCAATTAATAAATTATAATATAGAAAAGTTAAAATTGCTTATTTAAAAATAGACATTTCTATAGTTTAGTTAATGTTAAATTTCAGGTGCATCCTTTTTCAGCAGCGACGAAAGCTTTGCCATGATTCGAGGGTAAGTTAATGTAATAATATCTTTAGTTTAATCATATCATTTACTGTTAACTTGAAGAGGTCACATTGATATGACTGTCTTAGGTGGATTAGAAGTGTCTCAATACGGTGATCTTGCAAACTGGATGATTCCCGTAAGACGAAATTGAAGTAGGAATCTTTAATTTACTATAATTTAATGATTTTCAGGGTAAATTTGTGAATGGAATGGGTGGAGCTATGGATTTAGTTTCAGGACCAAATACAAAAGTTTTGATCTGCATGCAGCACAATAACAAGGACGGAAAACCAAAGATCGTAGAGGAATGTACCTTGCCCCTGACTGGAGCTAAATGCGTGGATATGATCATAACGGAGAAAGTAAGATTATATCGTTTATATTGCACGCTTACTTATCTAGTTTTTCAGTGCGTTTTTGAAGTGAATCCTGGTAGAGGTTTGGTGCTCGTCGATCTTCAGGAAGGTGTTTCATTGGCAGAGGTTGTTGAATCAACGGCTGCTTCTTTCGAAGTTTCACCAAATGTGAGGCAGTTGAAGCAACGCGCTTATCAAGTTTAAAACGTAATTTATTCTTATAAATATATTTATATACGTATATGTGTGTAAATAATATGTAATATATATAAAAAAAAACAATTGTAAATAATATTTTGGTGACAGATAAATAAAAAAAATTGCACAGTATTATTGCACTTATTCTCTGAACTTGTCTTTGACGAAGGTGGGAAGCGGGATCAGGTACAGGAAGAGATTGAAGATGATCATACCTAAAGCGAACGCAAAAGTCATGCCTAGATTCATGTCAAAGTCCAGAATTCCGCTGAAGATCAGATCGTTGTTGTCTCTAGTGTAGCGATCGGCGAGGAAGGACTGGCCGTTCTTGTATAAGCAGTACGGATTCGTGTTGAAGTTGGCCATCTCCAAAGAGTTCATGTTCGTGCAGTTGGTTTTCAGGTCGTATGAAAGAGTTTCCAGCATGCTGGGACTCAAGAACACCTGACGGCTCAGAAACACAGCTGCGTAACGTGCCTGTGTCGCGTAAGTTAAGTAAAACAGCCAATCCTGAAGTCCTTTGATAGATCTGAGGATACCGCTGCTCAGAGTTATGCAAATGCAGGTGATGTAAATGCTGAAAATCGCTGCTTTCAGGAAGTCCTTTACGATCATGAGGATGGCCATCGTTTGTTGCTCGCTGAATATGTAGCACGCCCACAGAATTAACGAGAAGTATAAATACTGGATTGGGTCTTCAAAGGTGCCAATTAAACTAAAAGTTAACTTTCTTTGTTATTTGCGTTGCATTGTGTTTCTGGTAGACTTACGGATAAATAATAGCGCTGGCTCCAGCTACTGAGCAAAATGAGAACGGAAGAGAAACCAAGTTGTAGGTGATTAGGAAGAGAGCGCCTCCGTAAGTGCCTTCTTGAGCTTCTTGATAATACCTCGTTCGATACGATGGATCTATAATTATAAACTAAGAATACAGTGAAAACAAGGTGTTGATGGGCTTACAAATGATGATTGTGTTGAGGATTCCTAGGAAATAAACGCCGGCCAAGCTGTTGAGTATCAATCCGCTTTTAGACACGAAAGTATGCTGGTAATTCTTCATCTCTCTATAGAAAATCCACAGGAAAAAGTAGAATAACGGAACCACGAACAGACGGAGGAACAGCTGCTTGAAACCAACCTTCTTGAACTTGAAAGTTGCTGCGAGAAGTCTCCTGAAATAAAATATTAATTATTGCTTATTATATACCATGTGTGCTTATTAATTATTGCAAATACGAGTGAGTGTAATCTTACAAGTATAGAAGCCAACCAACGTGGAAAGAAGATGGTTTTCCTTGCAACAAAGGCACTTTGTTTCCATGACTCAAGAGTGTTCCATGATCCATGTTGTGATGACCGGAAATGGAGTTTTGACGGTACGAAGGTCCTTCGATTTTGAACTTTTCCACGAGCGCCGAGATTTGATTGTTGCTTTCCACGAATCTCTCGCGCGATCTCCGATCCACCGTAGATAAACATACTAAGAAATATTAGATATAATAGTTGTATTTCAAGTATAAACTCAAAGACTTACAATAATACATCAAAGGATTTTCCAGCTGAGGGCAAGGAAAACCGATCGCCGTGAAATACTCCAACATCTGTCTGGTTCCTCCCGTATAGACTACATCGCCTAAGCACAAATAAAGAACTCTCTCGAGGAAAGGAAACACATCGGATCTCGGTTTTTCCATTGTTAATACAATTGCAGTTCCGTATTTCTTTGCGGCGTTGGAGAGGATAGAGATTACTAGATAAGTGTTCAAAGGATCCAAATCCCAGGTGGGCTCATCCAAAAGTAAAATAACTACAAAACAAATTTAATAATCTATTGTATTGTGTGTTAATTGGAGGATGTTTCTTACCTGGGTCTTTGATTAACTGCACGCCAATCATCAGACGTCTGTATTCGCTCTTCGTTAAGTTTTCCGTACATCTGTTGGCCACCTGCGATAGAGCTAAATCGGCCATCACCTGCTTCACTTTGGACTTCTTCAAATATCCGGATAACTGAAATTGTTAAAGCTACTATTTGCTGTTATCATTTTAAACTTTTAAATGTTTATTACTTTTGTTGGAGTGAAATATAAAGTTTGTTCGACGGTGAGACCTGGTATTAGGTCGCATTTGTGTGTGACGTAGCCGCATCTTTGTTGGAACAGTGAGAGACTCATGGGTTGATTGTTTAGAAGGATTTGACCTCTGGTGGGTCCCTGGACTCGGCGCGATATCACATCGAGTAAAGCCTTTTTGCCACTTCCTATTTTTGTTTTTGGAATCAATGAAATTTTCCGTGTTTATTATCGAAAATAAATACCTTTAGAGCCTAAAACAGCTAAAACTTCTCCCGAGTGAACTGTGAGCGAGACATCTTTTAAGATCACACCAGTTTTGATGCTTCCTAGGAGACGTTGCATGCATGAACCAGGTTCAACCTAAAATATAAATAATTACATTTAATTATTTTAAAAATATTCAACATTTATTACTAAATTAATGAAAGTACCACAATTTATTCATAAAAATAAATCTTCATGAAAACTTTGCAATTCATTCATCTAACAAAAATAACAGTACTAAAGTAAATATTCATGAAATTATGTAACAAATAAATTATATTTATATTATGTTTATTTATATTTTCTTTCTTATTAAATGAATACCAAATTAATATTCAATTTTTTTTGTCCCGTTTAATCAAATCTCTCATACAACAATTAATTATTAATTCGCATAAATAAAATCTCATGAATGAACTATTTTGATTATTTACATTTAACACTCACTAATGATACAGGTAATGTACATTATCGTTGTAAATGTGAACTAAGAAATAGAAAGTTTACCGGTTAAACCATATATAATGTGCACTAAATAGAAAAAAACAATTATTTAATACTGTTAATAATATGATTGTATTATGATTTGAGAAAGTATATTGATATTTCTTATTCAACAAAATATAATAACAAAAGAAATAATTTTATATAAATCAAAAATGACTAAAATTGTCCAAAATACCAGCGATTTTTTTGGTCAATTTTAGTAAATATGTATTTAGTGTTTATGTAAAATGTTTTATTAATTATTAATATTTAGTTAATTTCAGAAAAAAATATGTTGTTCAAGTTTTAGTTTGTCTACAAATTATTTCTTTTGTTTTATAATTTTTGATTTCAGAGATTTGATAATATATAGAAATAATATAATTTAATATATAAAATATTTCATACAAAAGATATCTTAATTGAGTTTATTTTCTCATTGAAATTATAATTTAAAAAAAGTATTTTTTGTTGTAGAAAACTAATTGATTATTGAATAATTGGTAGGAATTGTTGATTAAATATATAAATAAAAACTTAGATTATTTTGTAGAAAATTCTAACAAATAAATTGAAATTTGTGATATGTTGGAAAATTATTAATTATTTCTGTATATCGTTTAAATTTTTATATTGCCTTTATGCGTTGAATAATTTTTTTTAGTTAAACGTTTTTTGTATCAAAATTAAAAAATCATTGAATAAGTAACAGCAATTGTGATTAAATATAGTTCATTAAATAAAATATAGTGTACTTTGTAAAAAATCGAATAAATAAATTAAAATTTGCGTTATGCATTTTTTAACCCGTGTGGACACGCGCTCATTCTTATTACATGAAGACGCGCTAGGTATGGGTATGTTTTACCCACTGCGCGCGTCCACAAGTGTTAATTGTAAAGTAACATTTTTTGTTACAATTTACAAAGTGAAAAATATGACATAATTGCGGTTAATTTCTATTGTGAAAAATAATTTTGGAAAATTTTGTATACGGGTTTGTGACTTTATTGTACGTCAAGTCCAAAAATAAAATAAAACGTTTCTATTGTTAGTTTAACTAAAGCAAACAGTTAAATTGAAGCATTTATCTAAAAAAGACATTAATAAATTATTGTTAGTGATAACGATATATTTTGTTATATAAAATATACATGACTTGGTAAAAATTCTATTTAAATATTTTTTTTTACATTGAGGTGTTGGAAACTAATGTAAAGTAATGTTCTTTGTTACAAGTATTTAAACAGTAAAAAATATTAAATAATTGCAGTTAATTTCTGTTTAGTCCAGTATTTTGAAAAAAAAAATTGTAATTTTGGAAAATTTTATACATGTCTTCATGTCTTTGTCGTGCATTTTAGTTATTGTCAGTTTAATTAAAAAAAACAGTTAAATTATTGGAACACAATTATTAATTAATTAAAAAATAAAATGTTGTTTATTAAAGAAAGTATAGATAATTCCGTCAAAATTGTAACAAATAAATTAAAATTTGTGAAGTGTGGGATATTGATTTACTTATGAAGGAATATTCTCTGTTATAAGTATTTAGCTGTACACAATGTTACAAAATTGGATAATTCCAGTTAATTTCTGTATCGTTTTATATACGGGTTTGTTTCTTTATTGTGCGTTGAATCCAAAAAATAACACGCTTGTAATTCTCAGTTTTACTAAAGTAATAGAAAATTTTTGTTTATTGAAAAAAAATTATTGAATGTGATTGTTTATTAAATATAGTTAAATATATAAAGTATAAATTATTTAGTAAAAATTCTAACAAATACATTGAAATTTGCGATGTGTTGGAAATTTATTTAATTAAGAAAGAATGTTCTTTCTTATAAGTATTTAGCTGTCGAAAAATTAAGAAAATTCCAATTAATTTCTGAATAGTTTTGTATATATATGGGTTTGTATCTTTATCGTGCATTGAATTAAAAAAACAACCCGCTTCTATTGTCAGTTTTACTAAAGCAATAGAAGAGTTTTGTTTATTGAAAAAAAAATAAATTACTGAATAAGTGACTATGATTGTTGATTAAATATAGTTAATTATATAAAGTATATATTATATCGTCAAAATTCTAGTAAATAAATTGAAATTTGCGATCTGTTAGAAATTGATTTAATTATGAATGATTGTTCTTTGTTATAAGTATTTAACTGTCCACAGTGATAGAAAATTTTATAATTCCATTTAATTTCTGGATCGTTTCATAGACGGGTTTGTGTCTTTATCGTGCGTTGAAACCAAAAAACAACACGCTTCTATTGTCAGTTTTACTAAAGTAATAGAAGAATATTGTTTATTAAAAAATATAAATTATTGAATAAGTGACTATAATTGTTGATTAAATAAAATTAATTATATAAAGTATAAATGATTTCGTAAACATTCTAACATATAAATTGAAATTTGCAATGGTTGGAAATTGATTTAATTATGAAGTAACGTTCATTGTTATAAACACTTACCTGTCCAGAATGAAAAACATTGCACAATTCCAGAATGTAATCGCTGGAAATCATCTTCCCGTATTTACGTTTGCAACAACGGTCTGTTTATTTATTTCTTGCAGTAACAGCGAACGAACAGCCTCTCCCGTGCGCGCCTTCCTCGTTGCTCTATTTGCATGACAATCCAACAGGCATCATCATAATCATCGCGCCAGGTAAATACAGGTATGAGTCTGTCGGGTTACTAGCGTCCGATCCTCTCTGCAGATCTGCTGCCCAAGGAAAGAGGTTTCGAGTGTGCGCACCCGAAAACCGCTCGAAACTTTCTATCCTTTCGACTTAAAGCCGACTAACTGTTCAGTAAAGTCAACGCGAACAAATAAAAAAAATGTATATGAGTACACTCACAAAATCCAATTGGATTTTTGTACAACTTTAAAATTGCGTAACAGTAATTTGCAAATGTTTGATTAAATGAATTATTAAGTAAATATCCGCCCAATAATTTCGCTTCCGCCACCTGTGGACTTATAACGCGGAGTGTACCTGTAACTAAAGAAGAAAAGAACGAAGGAGGGAATGAAAAAATTAAACAACAACGAACAGGTTAAATATGTATGGCGCTGCCAACGCAACGGAACCCAACAACAGGCTTCGACTTCTTCTTCGACGCTTTGTTAATATTTCCACGATGATTCTTTCCTCTGGCTTGACTCGCCCGTCGCGCGCTGCAATTGTTCACTTAATTAAGTGCCCCACTTAGCTAAGTACAGCTTAGGTCGGCTTACACGCGCTTCGGCCGCGGCCATAACGTTGGTAACAGATTCTTTGGCACGTCAGTTCTTGTACGCTATTACTGGGGACTACACAACAGTGGTATTATAACAGTGTGTACGGATACATGCCATTCGTTTTGCTCGTGTGTGCTTTATTTCATTTATTTATTTTTTTGTTACCTTACCACTCTCTTGTTTATATTCCCTGCTGGAAAACTTTTTGAAGAACAACGTTTTGTTTGCGAGTGCCCCTTTTTTTTATATGGGATCCTAGGATTTTCCTGTTAATTGTTCAAACTATGTTCGGTGAGTTTTCGTTTTAACGCATTCCTTGTAAACAAGTCGATCACGCATATTGATCTTATTGACAAGGGATTATGGTAATTATTATCTATTGCTTAATAGCATACAATTTATGCGGAAAACGCACTTCAAGAAAAAAATAATTACATAATCAATAAATTACATCAATATTACATTCATTCGCTCAACAATTTATTAAATTACTATAATTCCTACAAATACCAACATCAATACAAACGCAATTAATGAAATTTGTAATGCAAATAAAGTAGATACATTATGTAAAAAGAAATTAAAATATATAAATAAAACTATTTTTTATTGGTTTATTTTGGCAAAAAAAGCTATCAAATTACTCTTTTTTTATTATATAAACATTATTTTCATTAGTTCATTTCGACTAAAAGACTATCGACAAAAGCCCGCCATTTTTTTTATTAATATTCAAACATTTTTTTAATTGGTGCATTTCGACTAAATGACAGAAGCCCACTATTTTTTACTATTATTAAAACATGTTTTGTATTAGTTAATTTTGACCAAAACACTATCTACCAAAGCCCACTTTTTTATTATTATTTAAGCATTTTTAATTGGTTCATATTGTCCAAAACTATCTTTTTATAATTTTTAATTGACTTGAACTATTATTAAAATATCCATTTTTACTAAAAAATCGCCAAATCTTCATTTTATTAATAAATTTTTACTAAAAAGTTATCGACCAAATCTTACTATATTTTTTTTATAATTAAATAAATGAAATTTTTAATTAATTTTTTTTTTAGAATATTTCTTTCACCAGTAAAAAGTTAATAGTGTTTAATGAAACGTTCTTAGTAAACGGTTTTAAATTAAAATTTACAAAAAAAAATTGCCCGATTTCACATTTTCCAAGAGATGCGTTTACCATGTAAATCGCCTTTGAATATTAATTAGAAACGATCGGACTTCAAAACAGAAATCTCGCAATTACCTGCAAATATATTCAGTTCATATTTTTTTTTCTCTATCTAGGTTATTGAATTTATTATTTTGTGCTACAATTTGCACATGAAATCTATTTTAAAAAATGA